TTTGCGAGTAAATAGAAACACACATTTCACAACCCTTTCATCTACATTACCATTTGATTCAAAAGCATAATGATGATGATTAATGATGACCATAATTATGTGTTGGTGGTAGTGTAAGGAGGAGGAGCAACTAATAAAGTAATAATTATACCACTACTAATAGTTAAACAATAAGTGATGATTATATGGTGTTGATAAAGCCGACATCATCGCCTGTAATCATTAGCATTATAATCCACATAATAAAAAAAATTAAGCAACGATGGTGATAAATAATGTTACTAACAGTAGTAACAATTATTATCATTCTCTCTCCCATAATCATCAACAGTTTCATTTTCATCACCGTTAGTATCTTTATGTTGACAGCAACGACACAGTAAGGAACTCCAGCATCTATCAAACAATGCAACATAGAGCGGGAAAGAAATATATTCGGAAAGTATTAGAGTTGCAAAATTGCTTGATTTAGGTAATCAAAGCCTCGTTTGCCTCGACCCCAACCCATTCCATCACACTTCTGGGATCTGTGCGTATATGTGCATTATGGGTATATGCGCGCGCGCGCACACACACACACACACACACACACACACACACACACACACACACACACACACACACACACACACACACACACACCTAATATAACATGAAGAGATGAATAAACAAGTTTGCAATGAACATGTGTATATTTATATACTTGTGTGTGAGACAGAGAGAGAGATAGAGAGGTATCTATGTCAAACAAACTAATATGCATTATATTAATCGTATGAATTAGTATATGTAGAGTACAGCAATGAATATATAGAATAGCATCGGCATACATAGTTCAGCAATATAATATATATTAGGCCTGGTTACACCCATACGTATATGTGTAACTGACGTGACTTGCACCTCCCAAGCAATCAGAGAGGGAATCAGACCCGTCCATTCACCACTTGACCCTCGATGTTATTCTTCGTGACCTGCTGCATTGACACCAATCTTCATATCATTCTCTCGCAACTTGTGTCACTGACAAGGCTTGATAGATTTAACTGTTTTTTTATGGATAGTGAGAGAGAGAGAGAGAGCGAGAGAGCGAGAGAGAGAGAGAGAGAGAGAGAGAGAGAGAGAGAAGAGAGAGAGAGAGAGAGAGAGAAAGAGAGAGAGAAAGCGAGAGAGAGAGAAAGAGAGAAGAGAAAGAGAAAGAGAGAGAGAGAGGGGGGGGGGTATATATGTATGTATGTATGTATGTATGTATGTATGTATGTATATATATATATATATATATATATATATATATATATAGAGAGAGAGAGAGAGAGAGAGAGAGAGAGAGAGAGACAGAGAGACGGAGAAGGGGGAGGGGGGAGGGAGAGATAGCAAGAGACTAAGACACACGGAAATTAATCGTAAAAAATGTGTCATGACTATGATGTCTTTACCCTCCTCCTTCACATGAGAAATCTTAGGATACTAAACCATAGGATACGGTTCCCTTATCCTCCTCTCCCTCTCCTCAGTTCCCATCAACTAAATGTCTTGACAAGTCCTCAGTTGCGCCACTTTATCTATGCCAGTTAAGGGCCGAGTCCCTTAAGATTGGATAATGACATGCATTTATGCTTTGAGACGCGGGGTCAGAGTATCCATGTGTGCCTGGGTGAATGCGTCTTCTCTATATATATTTAGAAATAGCGACATAGCAACATATACATAGATCATCCCCGTTTCAGTGTACTGTTTGCCTCTTTGTTACCGCACCCGTATCCGGATGTTGTATATATCTTTCTCATGCAGGTGAATTCTGTTACCGACCTTGCATGCCCAACGACACTCGCATTTGCCAGTTCACATTTGAGGTTCATCTCTACCAGACCTTATCTAGGTAAGATCTATTAGCCTACTTTGCTTTAGGTAAATTACAATGTACATAAATATAGTATATATATCATATAAATTTGTAACTCGAAAGCACGGAGACAAAAAATCCCGTCTGATGACTCATTTGCGGATACGCTTTCCTGTTTTTTATTTGGACGAGTCCCTCTCCGCCTTATCACCTGCATGAGTCAAGCATTGTTGGGATTTCTTGTTAACTGTAACATAAAGGATGTACTGAAATGAAGGAGGTTCAGCTTTAACATCGTGGACCACTTCAGGGGTCATACATAATAATTATATTATAAATTTTATGGATCCAAAGGTGTACTAAGTTACTTCTAATCACATTTTTATGTGATTAGAAGTATGATTCCTAAGTTCTGATTAAAATGGTCCATTGAAGAAAATGTACAATCGCTTACAGACGTTGTCCGAGAATTGGTATTCACACACTTAGTGCTCCCTGATCGCTGTCATCCATTTTACATATCAAAAGCATAACAAAATATTTGCTAAGGCTTTTACACACGACATAAGGCACGAGAAAATAATAATTGGAGTGACCTCCTCTGACTCCCCTTGACCCGGCTAGGGCGTGCTACAAATGTCCCAGCAACGCCAAAGACTGCGACCGACCCGAGTGCGTGGCCGGGGACGGGACGCGCAGGATGGTCACGGCGGTGAACAAGGGCATTCCAGGACCGTCTATTCAGGTGAGATTTCCTGCTTTCAGTTCCTCTACGTCGGTTTTGGATTTGTGTTGTGATATTTGTTTAACGTTCGTTTGGAAAAGGAAACCCAAATTGGTTGGTTGAGTGAAACAATACAGGAAGTTCTGTAGGCATACGGGGAGAAAAATAGTGACAATATCTGAAATGTATGTTTACTTTGACAATGAAATGGTACATTAAAACGTCCATGATTCCTTAATTTCCCTCTCTGTTCCCTACCACCAAGCGTCGCCCAGTAATGTTAAACTGCCCACGCGACAAAGATCTTCACCAAAGGGTTCACAATCCCCTTCCAGGTGTGCGTCGGCGACAAGGTTCTCGTGGACGTCCTGAATGACATGCCGTCCACAGCCGTCACTCTCCACTGGCACGGCCTCACGATGGGCCCCTCCTTCGCCGTGCCCCGAGCCGAGAAGACGCCCTTCATGGACGGCACCCCGGGCATCACGCAGTGCCCAGTGGGTCCCTCGTCCGGGTTCAGGTACTCCTTCATCGCTTCCAATCCCGGCACTCACTTCTGGCACGCGCAGACAGGTGAGGAGGACTCGGAACAAGATTTTGGGTTAGATCTAAGAGTCAGACGGTAATTTACGCAATTATGAAACCGTGATCGTGAATATTGCAATGTTCTACAAATCTTGAAAATACCTGTTTCTACTTAAAGTGTCCGTTGGCCTTGACAATAAGTTCTTGTCTCTACAATCGTAAACAGTTTCTAGCTGTCTAAGAGCTTAAAAAAATATCTGATTCTAAATAAATACATGCATTCGCAGGTCTTGAACGCGGCGACGGTTTGTTCGGCCCACTCATTGTGCACCAGTCACATGAAAATGATCCTTACCAGAAATTGGCACAACATATCATAACGGTATGAGCTCCATTACAATTGCCTATGTATATACATGCACACGCGCGCGCGCGCGCACACACACACACACACACACACACACACACACACACACACACACACACACACACACACACACACACACACACCACAAACGAACAAAAATAGACAACAATGCAGCACATTGAGAAGGGTACATCAGACAAGGCCTTGATTTCCAGATCAATGACTGGTTCCACTCCTCGACGCAGTCCAAGTATGTCCTCCGTCAGCACAGCAACCAGGAGGCCAAACCCCAGTCCATCCTGATCAACGGCCGCGGTGCCCAGAAGGTACTCTAGATACGCGACTTTGAATGCAGTTTTAAGGAACATACGACTCTACAGAAGATCGTCTTTCATCATCGTCTTACCTTTAATGCGATACATCATATAGATTTTGATATATATTATGTATATCATATATACCGTTATCGATGCGACAAGAGGTTACGTTGTTGTTTATGATGTTTGTCTTGTATTCCAGCACGACGCGGATGAAGTCGCTCGAGTTCCATATTCAAAATTCATAGTGGTTAATGGTAAGATAGACTATTAAATGATTGCAATGGAGAGGGATTTTTTTTATAAAAATATTATATATATAGATAGATAAATTAATATATACATGGATATACACATGGGTTGGTTGATTTATATATGTGTGTGTGTGAGGCAGAAAGAGAGAGAAAGAGAGAGAGAGAGAGTATAGAAAGACCCATAAAGAACGAGAACGAACGAATGATACACAAGAGAAGCCCCACCCACCCACAATCAACACTTCTCCCCCACCCTCCCCCTCCCCCAGACACCCGCTACCGCATGCGGGTCATCAACGCTGCGGTGACCAACTGTCCCGTGACTGTGACGGTGGACAGCCACGACTTCGTCCTCCTCGCGGCAGATGGCAGCTTCGTGTCGCCCATGAACACCACGTCGCTCCTCATCTATCCAGGTAATTCATCGGAGATCAAGCGGTCGTAAGTCATCGTTACTTATGGTTAAGCTTGGTTAATTAATCAACTTGCTTAATCGGAATTTTATGTTCAGGTCAGGTATTCGTCAACCAGCCTCTTCTTCCTCCCATTCCTAATTACAAGAAGAAAACATTACGGTTTTACTTTATGGCTTTCTTGCCTCCTAAAAACTACTCATTTCAATCCTAAATTTAAACAAAATCCAATTTTCTGTCTAGTCCTCTTCTTCCCATTCCACTCATCACCAAAAACGAACGCAAGAAAAGATGATAATTCTCAAATCAACGCCTTTCCTCTCCCTCTCCTTCCCAGGAGAGAGATACGACGTGCTGATCGATGCGGAGCAACAGACATCTCCTGACGGCGGAGTCTTCTGGGTGCGCGTGCAGGGCGGGAACGACTGTGGCCACCTTCAGCAGTACGCAATTCTCCAGTACCTGCCCACGAACTTCTCCTTCGCCGAAGCTCCGCCCACCGTCCCCCCGGAGACCACGCCCACTCCCAAAACACCACCTGCGCCAGGATCGGTGAG